CACCTCTCCATATCACCCTTCCTTTGTCTATAAATTTAGAGGCTTGGCTTCATTTTTTAGACATAAAATAAGACATGTAAAATCTGAAATCTTCTCCCCTCTTTTCTACATTGTTGCATTATTTTCTAAATAAACATAAGTGTCAAGTGTGATTTGCTCTGTTTGTTGAGTTCGCTGAAGTTCTGTGATTTGAAGTGCCGCTATCACATAATAATTATTCCGTTCTATCCTAGGAGGAATTAATCCGTATACCTTGGGCAACAGTGAGGGGATTAAATTCCCTAAGGACACGTTGTGCATTCAGTGGACTCGGAATTATTTTACGATTTATTTATTGAACTAACGTTTGTTTGCTTCTATATTTTTTCTGATTTTGAACACAGTAATACCAACAATCTTAAGGAATTTAACAATTGTTCTGTTATGGCCGATAGAGATATATTCGAAGTGGTATTGAATTTAATTGTTGTTTCTGCCATGGAAAAGACGATAAAGTATTATCGATGCTGATCTTGGGCAGAAAATACTTGATACGTTACATCATCAAGTGCATGGAAAGATTGCAAAGAAAAACTTCATGGTGTTGAAGAAATGGAAGCTGTTGATGTTTAAAAAAGAACTGGCATGAAGCCAAAAGAAAACGGAAATTGTACTTCAAAAAGATATGACTTGATTGCCTACCAACTCAGATTGTAATCTAATGGAAATAGATTAAGTCTTATTTGTATGGTAGAAGCAAATACAAAATTCAGCGTGTTTGTGAAGGCAATTGCTCAAAGAGAATAGACAATTCCAGAAGTACAAATTAAGGGTGCATTTGCATCGTTATAACAAGTGTCATTACTGATGTTGTTTCAATGCTTTCGGAAACGAGGGAACATATTCCAGAAACAGTGTGTTTGCCTCAGAGGTGAATTAACATGAACAGTGGCGTCAATATCGGGTTATATCTTCTTTACTCTAGTCATTTTTCAATTTTCTACCCTTAGTGATTTATGATATCTTACTTCTATAAATTTAGGGTAGATATTTATTATGTAATGATCTCATATTACATATTTAGAATATATGCATGAGTAGGAATAACATGTATTTACGGTTAATTTATTATTCCTTTGACCATATGAAAAACTATTAGTAGTTGATATAGAATTTGGTAACATGCATAAAATATGTGGAAGATTAATTTCAAGGTTGTAAGACATAAGTTAAGCTTAAAGTAATACTTGAAGTATTCTTGAGATCCTGAATATAATATATGTAAAGATGAACATATATGTGTTTGATTAGAGAAAGAGATCAAAATGTTTAAAGTGTTATAATGGTTTAGTTGAAAAACTATTTGGAAAGGGAATTAAAATCTTCGTGATTTTCTACTCCTGCTTCGAGATCAAAATCTGCGTGATTTTTTACTCGTTCGTTGAGATTAAAGTCTTCGTGACTTTCTACTCATTTGTCGGAAATTAAAGTCAAAGTGACTTTATACTCGTTTTGGAGATTAAAATCTTAGTGATATTCTACTCCAATTTATTATTCGGTTTGAAGATTAAAAACTTTACCGTTTATTAAATTTGATAGTGTCACATATTATTTGGTTTGAAGATTAAAAACTTCACCGTTTATTAGATCTAGTTGTATCAGATGTTACTCGGTTTGAAGATTCAAAACTTCACCATTTAATAATTCTGAATGTGTCAGATTGGTTTGAAGATTAAAAACTTCACCATTTATTAATTCTGGCTATGTCGTGACACAAACAACAATTCATGTGGTTGGCTCAACAACGTAATATGGACGTCGAATATGAATCTCCTTTTGAAGAAATATGTTTGGAATATGAAATTATTCACCAAACGATCGCCCCTTAGTTACCGCAATCTAATATAATTGCGGAAAGAAAGAACAGAATGTCCAAGGAGACGATAAATGCCTAGTTGATAAGTTCTGCTTTACCCAAAACTTGTGGGGGGGAAGCTATGCTTACAGCTTACCGAATACTCATTCACGTTCCCCATAGCAAGACACATTCCATTCCATATAAAAAATGGAAAAGAAGAAAACCCAACTTGAAATATTTCCAAGTGTGGGGGGTATTTGGGTAAAGTGCAAGTTCTTAAACCCAAAAGGAAAAAAATTGGATCGAAAATTGTTGATTCCGTTTTTATTATATATGCAAGAAATAGTAAGGCATATTGTTTTCCGATTCATAAATAGTAAAATCCCGACATTCATATTAATACGGTTATCGAATCAGATAATGCTGAATTCTTTAAGAATATTTATCCGTATAAAAAGGAATGTGAGTCGTCTAGTGAAATATCTAAGCGAAATCGGGAAGAAGCAAAGGAAAGTACGTTGAATTAGAAAATTTCAAGATGTAGTAAACGTGAAAGGATAACTACTTTATTTGGACCGGATTTTCTGACATTCTTGTTGGAAAATGAGCCTCAAACGTTTAAAGAAATATTGTCGTCCTCGGAAGCACAATATTGGAAGAGGCAGTCAATAGTGAGATAGAATCCATATTAAGTAATCATACTTGGGAATTGGTTGATCTTGCTCCAGGAAATAAACCTTTGCGTTCTACGTGGATTTTCATAAAGGAAATGAAAGTTGATGGTACTATTGACAAATATAAAGTAAGATTAATTGTCAAATAATTTAGACAACGAGAAGGTCTTGATTACACTTCTACGCCTTGCGTGCAGATATTCAACGAGGTGCAGCTACGGAGTTCGTGGGCCTAGCATTGAAGACGTATGAGCACTCCAGATACAATCTATCATTTGTTCGCGGTAGTTTAGGATTTATATTTCTTTATAAAAATTTCAAATCAATGATGTATCTTTCCTCAAACTGAAATTGTAATCTTATTCCTAGTCGCTCGTGACTTGTACTATCAGTCCTTGAAAACTTGTACAAAATTCAGTTATTTCATTCTTGTTGTTATTGATCTTTCACTTGAGTTATGTAATTCTTGTTGCGTTTTTATTAAGGGGTGTGAATGGGAAATGGAAGAGGTACCTTTTAGATTGCACCTCTCCATATCACCCTTCCTTTGTCTATAAATTTAGAGGCTTGACTTCATTTTTTAGACATAAAATAAGACATGTAAAATCTGAAATCTTCTCCCCTCTTTTCTACATTGTTGCATTATTTTCTATATAAACATAAGTGTCAAGTGTACCCATATACATAAAAAATGACAGCAATGGAATGCCAATCCTCGGGCTTTATTTGTAAAGTCTCTATTCCTTGGTAATCAAAGCCCAAAGATCTATGAATTAGCCCATGCTTGACTAGCCAAGCAGACAAACGACCCTGCATCTTTTTTATCTCTCCCGCATTTTTATTTATATAAGTATTTCACATTTACGATGAAATTTCTGAAAATTGACCCACCACTTTTTATTCTGGACAAAGGAATCCTGTCTAATTCACTAATTCGGGATGATTTGCTCCGTTTGTTGAGTTCGCTGAAGTTCTGTGATTTGAAGTGCCGCTATCACATAATAGTTATTTCGTTCTATCCTAGGAGGAATTAATCCGTATACCTTGGGCAACAGTGAGGGGATTAAATTCCTTAAGGACACATTGTGCATTCAGTGGGCTCGGAATTATTTTACGATTTGTTTATTGAACTAACGTTTGTTTGCTTCTATATTTTTCTGATTTTGAACACAGTAATACCGACAATTCTATGTTAGGCTTACCTGGCACTAGGTTAGGTGCCATCAAGACTAAGTGGATATATGGGTCGTGACACTCTAGCAGTTATAGAAAAGGGGATAACGGGTACAAAAAAATACTTAAGTGTCCATAATGCCCTCGAAGCTCATATGAAATATCTTAATTGTCCCCATTTTGGCCACCCTCATTGTGGCCACAATGATTTTTCCTTTTTATATACTTTTGAAATTTAAGAATGAATTGTATATGACAAACATGATATGATCAATGGCTCTTTTGTAAATACCAGTTGTATGGGTCAAAATCCGATCCCGCGACAATTAACGAGGCTAATCTCGTTTTAAGTTAATTCATGATTAATTAGTGGCACGACCACTCAGAATTGACGACGTTCAACCCGCCTCTGGCTCGGTCAACAAGGCCCTGGCCTATCCGCCACTATAGAGGCGAGATCTCAGTGTGGCCACGGCCATTTATTGCCAGCTCACGAAACTCACATCTATAAATACTAAGAGTGGAAGCCCTAGAAAGGGGGCTGCTTCTTCACTACTATAGACAGGAGAGAGAAGGGAAAAATATACCCATCTTATGGGAAGAGAAAAACACCATTGTAGGGCTCTGAACCTCTTCATGGAGAGGCAGACCAAACAAATATTATCAATAAAGGCTTTTAATGTTTCTCCCCCTAATTCTGAGTACTTATTTTCGTTTCTTCCATTTGGTCCAATGAATTATTACGATTTGCTATGATTTTCCCGTGATTATTTGTATTGTCTTGCACTCATAAGATATGTGATAACTTTTGAGCAAACACCAGTATCTCTATAATTCGATGAGGAATTTCATTTAGAATAATCTAATAATTACAATATAATTTGCACATATATTCTACATACAGAGACAAAAATTAACAACAGATTGAACAAGAACATTGCCAATATGGTAGAGTTATACCCCTATGACAACATGGAGATCTTTCTCGATTTGACCATAAAATTTGAGAGGCAACTCAAAGCAAAGAACCTATATGCTTCTTCATCTTTCACGTGGAACAAAAATAAAGAACACATAAATGAGGAGCTAAATGGGCTAGACAGAGCAGTGGTAAACGAGGTAGGGCAGGGTTGGATCTAATAGAACAGTGAGTTAAACGGGGCATGGCATGACATGGCAAAACCTTAGTAGGGAAAGACTTAACCCCCTACCCGCGCGCTCTGCCCGTCCCATTTCCATCCCTAAGGAAACCTAGAAACACAGCAAGACTATTTACTTGGAAGAGTACTGATGACAGGGCTAAGGAGACCAAGCCATTGACAACACCTCATGTTGATATAGACAAAAAGAAGGTTGAGGAATGTAACAAACAACAAACAATTGATGTAGAGTTTATTATCACTAGGATTATTTCCTGTAACCAAACGAGCACTAAATAAACTCAACTCCCTGGATTAGTAGTCATCGCGCGATTCTCTATATCCACCATAGTTATCTTCATTGCTTCCGTTGTAGTCTTCGCGCGATTTTCTACGTCCACCATGATTATCTTCATCACTTCCACTGTAATTGTCACGCGATTTTCGACGTCCACCATGATTATCGTCATCACTTCCACTATAATCATTGCGTGAGTTTCTACGTCCACTATGATTATCTTCATCACTTCCATTGCAGTCGTCGCGCGATTTTCTACGTCCACCATGATTATCTTCATCACTTCCATTGTAGTTGTCACGTGATTTTCTACGTCCACCATGATTATCTTCATCACTTCCACTGAAGTCGTCGCGCGATTTTCTACGTCCTCCATTATTATCTTCATCACTTCCCCTGTATTCATCGCGTGATTGTCTACGTCCACCATAGCCTTCTTCATCACATCCTCTTTTAGAGTCCAACTGCAAGTGAAGAAAGTATTTTTTAGCTCTTTTTTTTAAGCTTAAATGAACTGATAGTGTAAGAATTTTTACACAGTTAATTACTATATATTATCTCGTTATAACAGATCAGTTGTCTTATTTTGCAGATCACACTTACTATATATAGACTCATATTCGTAGTTATCTTTTAGGTGATCGAATAGTAAATTTTATTTTTCACTTTTGGTATATAGAAGTTAAACTACTTGTATAATCATACTCAAGATTGTTTTTGTCATGTGAGTTTAACTTAAATTCATTGGTAGTTAAAGAAATTACACTATTGATTGCCTTTACTTGTTGTAGCAAATAACGAATCTTATTTTTAAAATTACAATTTCACTTTTTATGATGTTGTAGCAAATAACCTATCTTATTTACAAAATTACAATCTTACTTTTTTATGACGAATTATCTGTAGATATCTTTTCGATAGTCCGATAGTATACTATGATATATATAAGTTAAACTCTTGTCACATAATATTCTTACCTCAGCAGTGAAAGTGAGGCCAAGTTTTATCTCTCCACAATATTCTTCATCTTTGACAACATTGTAAGAGCGTGTTGGCACTTCCCGTTCACGAAACACTTCATGTAAGGAAATTCTGTTTCAATTAACAAAACCACAAAATATAGACCGAAATTTTTTACAATTAGATATATAACATTAATGTCAAAAAAAATAATGTTCATATAAGAGGAAAAAGAATAAGAAAGATTATTAACGTTGCTTCTCCAACAAAATCATCCGAACTGAATGTATCTTTGTCCATAATCCTGAGGGTGATCTCTTCGACACCCTGACTGATGGTGAAAAGGAAAGTCTCATTCCATTCAGGTTCAGATCCTTCACCTGTAGGCAATAAATATTGATATATTTGTTGGATAATAGATTGGATAATATTCAATCTGAATATACCATAGAGATATGTAACATTCAAGTAATCAATAACACACCTGATGCAACACTACTTTCCTTCTCTTGAGTCCGGCAGGTGATGACAACATAAGGATTCATACTAGCTGTTGAAATTCGAAAATTCAATCATATTCATTTAACAAAAAGATTAAAGGATTAGTAACCTAGAAAATAAAGCACGAGCAGCACATGCATATGTCTACCAAATTAAAGGACAAATCAAAGTTGCATGGATAATAATAGGCTGCCTGCTGTAAAGGACATGACAATTAAAGTAGCTGTAACCATACTTTCTTTGAGCCGAGGGTGTATTTGAAACAACCTCTCTACTTTCATAAGGTAGGGGAAACGTCTGCATACACACTACTCTACTATGCTTTCTTTGACCCCACTTGCGAAATTACGGTGGGTATATTGTTGTTGTTGTTGTTGTTGAAGTTGCTACTAGCGATCTGTTGATGCGATTTATTATATACATGCAGGTATATCGTATATACATACATATATACATTATATATTTGCATATATAAAATTAAGATCTAAACAAGAATCATTTGGGGGGCCAAAAGGTGAAGGAGAACAACTGTTCGTTTTCTCTTCCAAATTTTTTTTTTTATGTGAAAGTATCTAAGACCAAATGCTCGAACGCCATATTCCCCTTCCCCTTAGCGATCAGGATAAATAGAATAAAAATTGGCGTTTATGAGGAATCATACTGAGCCAATTTTGGTCTTCAAGGCCTTTGGCATTTCCAAGAATAACTTCAAGCGTTCCAGTTGGCATCTTTTTTGGATCGAATTACTTTGACAGAAACAGAACAAGATAGTGGAAAGATGTAAAGGCTTCAATTCAGACCTATTTCCTGTTTTGAATGATGGCCCTTTAGACCTGCTCAATGCTCAATTTATAATTAACTACCCCAATCACTATAATCCACGTGGTAGTTGTTTAAGAAAAGAATTATTTGACAGATATTTCAAAACTTGTAGGAAAAATTGATTACATTTTCAAATTTTATTAAAAACAAAAATTCCCTTTTAATAACAATCATATAACACACTTTACAATTATCAAACAGTGTCATTGGATATATGAAATTCCTTCACCCTTAATCACAGACCTCTTCTTCGAGCTTTGGAATGCAAAACCTTCCGATAAAGTGCTTCCCGGCCTTTTAGTGGGCCTTATAGGATGAGAATCTGAATTAGTCGTGCCATAAGTATACCAGACACCTAAAAAAAATTACCGCAGCTTACCAGACTCATTTCGACCTCAATGCCAACCTAAATAATACCAACAACTTTATCAATTGAACTTTGCACCTAGACCCCAACCCAATGACCCCCCCCCCCTCTTGCCCTTCTACCAATAGCTTTGACCGTTTGGTGGAATTTTTTTTTTTGGTATGAAAGATAATATTACATTAAAACTATATACAAGAGTTACTACAGAGAGGGGGATGCATGATGTGCATCGTATTAGTAGCGCTAGATAGTTGGCTATTACATTGATGATGATGACATAAGTTTTTTTCCAAAAAAAGTCTGATCAGTTGACCCAATGGAGTTCTCTACTATAGTAACGCCATTGGTAGTTGTGATTGCATGTCCATCATCATGGGCAACAAAAATGGTTGTTTCCATATCCAGGGCATGTTCAGTTGTTATGCATGTTGTCTTCCTATAGCATATGGCTCATGTCTGATCCAATTGTAATGTGGTGCTCACAAAATCTGGCGGCGCGTCAAAAAAGTAGGTTTTGTAGTTGGTGCCATGCTGCAACCAGCTAATCGATCGGCCACCTCATTTTCCTTTCTGTAGATATGCGTAATTGTGAAACTATGCAGCTGGACCAGGAGGTGCCTGCAGTCAGAGATAAGATTAGTCTAATGCATGTTATTGTTTTTTAGCAGTGTTAGTACCTCTGACGCATCAATGTTTACTTCCAGTGGAACCAAACGGTGAGTGGTTGCCAATTCCAACCCATGAAAGAGGGCTTGTAATTCTGCATGAATGTTGTTTGTGATGTTGATGTTACCTGCAAATCCGATAATCCAATTTCCTTCTGAATCACGAATGAGCCCTCCTATACCTGCTTTGTTAGTTGCTGAGGATGCTGCTCCATCAGTATTTAGCTTGAAGTAATTTGGTTTCGGAGGGATCTATTTTATAGGCTTTAGTATGAGGTTTGGTTTTGATTGCAGGTTGGTGGCCAAGTAAGTAAATTCCAGGTCTTGGTTAGTGACAAATTTGGTAGATAGTTGGTGTTGGGTATGATTAAAATTGTTGTCATTACGAGCAAGTAGTGTATACGAAATAACAGTTTGATTGCTTATGCGGTAAGGCATGGGATTGGTTTTAGCCTTCATCAGAGGCATTAACCATTCCGAAGGTTGTGACAATCTGTTAATATGGTTAACAACATCAATCAAACCTAGTTGCGCCCACATGGATTGTACGTTTGGACAGTTAAGAAATATGTGATTAATTGATTCGTGTGCGTTATTACAAATTTTGCAACTATCGTCTAAAAGTATACCTATATGATGCAAATATTGCCTCATAGGTAGACTATTGTGCATTATAAGCCATAAGAACGTTTTAATTTTGGAGGTAACCGGAGTTTTCCAATCCAAGCATATTGGGGTGTTTGGGATACTGTTGGTAGGCAGTGTTGGAGTAGTTTATTATACATTGATTGCACAGTAAATTTTCCTTGATGCGTGAAACCCTAATATATAGTATCGAATTTAGTGGCGTAGGTAGGCACATGTATCCTTTTTATAATGTTTTTTAGGTGACCTTTTGCTGGAGTTGCCAAGCCGTAATTTTTAAAATTAAGAGGCATGAGTATGCTACATCCAGAATTAAGGGGGGGGGGTGGGGGGTGGGGGGGTATGCATCGAG